CTCCTCCTTATGCCCTCGTACGAGGCCTTACTAAAGATCCTCCTTGAACGACTTACGATACTAAGCATGAAGCCCTTCTCATCCATATTGTAGATATGACGCGCCTTGACGTGATATTGATTAATTTTATCGCGTAGGAGGCTAAAGTAGAGGTTGTATTTGCTTCTTGAATCTGCTTTGTGGCGACAGTTATCAAGGCCTTTTGCCCACCTTGAGGTAAGTTGATTAGGATAGCGCTGGACGAAGCGACTAGCCCAGTGTACTCCAACCTCAGTCTTGGCGATCTGTGAGGCAAAATTGCGTATCATTGGCTGAGTAGGTGGTAAGCCTCTATCTGTTAGTCGATTGATATAGGCGATTAGGGCCTGCTCCTGCTGTGGGTGGAGGAGCTGCCGTTTTTGGCCACCTATCGCGCGTGAGGCGTGTAGGCCTTGGTGTCTTTGGGTAAGCGTAGATCGAACAACACTATATTTTTTTGCAATATCTATATACGAAAAAGGCTCATTAGGTTCTAGGGCATTAATAGCTGCAAGCGCAGCCTCAATATTAGCCATGGTGGTGGGGATACGACGCGTTGAGGTTGAGGTGGTTGTAAGGCGCGCGCGCACTTTGTGGTCGCGCGCACTTTGTGGTGGGGCTAGTAACCACGTTAGGTGCATATGTTTATGCTAAAACTACCTCCATTCGCTATGTACCTGCCAATCCATCTTCAGAGGCTCTAAGCCAAGACTCTGGCTCAGAGCTCCTCTTTTTCCAAGTCGCTGTCCGATGCGTTCTTAGATTCGTCCTTAAGTCTCTGCTTGCTGCTGCTTGGCGTGATCTAGGCCTTCCTAACTTAAGTAGAGCTCAGACAATTCCTAATAATATAACCTAGCTCGTAGCAGCTATAGCACTAAGGTTAGTGCTTCTTAGGCCTCTTGCCCTAAGTCTCCCAAACTTAGTTAACCTTCAAAGGTTCCTACTCTATCGCTTCTAGGCTAGCTTCGCGCTGAACAGTCTTTAGGGGAGTAGGCCTGTGGTAGTTAGCTGCGTTTCTCTAGCTTCTTCCATGCAACTAGATCCAGTATAGGTCGTTAGATAGCTTAATCGCTTTGTCTATATACTCTTTTAGGCTCTCGTTTTTTAGGGCATAAAGCATTAGCTTCTAGAGCTCCTTACTAAGCCCTTTGCTAAATATCTCTTAGGCTATAGTCGTGCTAAACTATTATCTACTTTTAACACGGAGTTAGTTGAACTCTAAGACGTAATTACGTATTAGGCGCCTTCCTTGTCTTAAGTGCTAAAGCTTATTTAGCGCCTGCTGCTATTAATGCACGTCTTAGAAGTAGGTATCCATGTGCTCCTATAGCTTAGCAACAGTTATCTCTGTGTTATTAAGAACCTAAGAAAGCAGGACCTAATTCGCCTTGTCTTTCGTGCGGCTAAGCAAGTATTAAATCTTCGCGTCCTTAGTAGGGAACATAGCTTAATCGTACTTTAGTTTCCCTTTGCATTTAAATTTCTAGCTAGAGTAGTTATTTCTTGTCCTATTAAAACGTTCTAGATCTAGGAACGTATTCTTGCGCGCAGCTAGCTCAGCTGCCGTAGCTAGTTGCAATAGAGTGGTGTTGATCGCCAAGGTGGGCTCTAAACGGCCTTTAGTTTAGTTTCGTTTGAGTGCCTCTAAGCGATTAGCCAGCAGGCTAAGTAGCTGCATTATTTGCTCTATCACCTAGGCCACAGCGTTCTAACTAGCTTTTGGTGAGCCCTTTTCCCTAGCAACTGTTGATCGTTTAACGACCGCTTCGATTGTTGGTCCAATCGCTGCCTCCTTCTAACCATCCTCCCTTAGCATCTATGTGATTTCGCGCAGGATATCCTCATCTAGTACCCCTGCCTAGCTCTTAGCAGTGGCGTAGGCCGCCAACTCCTCTACATTTAGGTTTAGAACGTTGTTCGCCATTGTCTAATTCGCTCTTAGACGTCTCGTTTTCTTGCCTGCCAATGTGCAGAGCTTCTAATCACACTTCGGTCGTCTCGCGCAGTCCCAGACTGCGGCCTACTCCTCGTCAGTAAGGACTAGTAGGGCTTCCCACAACCGTACTTCCTTTCTAGTCGGATATAAACAGCGTTCGGCTGTTATTGTGTCGCGTCCCTAGGAAGACTCGCGTCTTACTGTCTCACTCGTAGGATCTTGTCTTCCTGTTAAAGAGATATCGCACGGCCTACACCTCGTCTAATAGAGGATCAATAGGACTACCCTACAGCGCACGTTTCTAGCTACCCTCGTTAAAGCTTAAATGTCCTTTAGATAGTTTATCACGTTAGGCTGTGCCTATAGCTTAGTTTTCCAAGACATAGTAGAACTTTTCTAACAGATCCTAGGCAACTAGCTTACCTACTGTCTCTTACAGCCAAACTTCCTGCGAAGCTCTGCCCTTGGTGTACTGTCTTGCGACGATCCACCCACACGCTATACTAACGGCCTTTCATACCCGTTACAGCACTAATTCTGTGTTATTAGTTTAAGCTAATAACGCGTTCTAAAACTTAGTTAGAAGATAGTCTGCCTAGGGCTTATGTCTAATTAGGATTAAATATAAAATGTAAGGGGCTGCGCTCTATAGAGCAAACGCTTAGGTATATAAGGATTGTATTTAATAGAGAGCTATCTACTCTGCCTTGCGCAGTGTTTATTTACTTATTAGAGAAAGGTTATGCTAAGTGCTTGTGCGCGTTGTCTAAGCGCTGCTCAGGCGACACGCAGATGCTGGGTTATAAGGGTACAACCCAGCGTTTGTTATCTGAGCGTTGCTCAGGCAACAACACCGAGATTCCATCGAGGAGCTATCTGAAGGGCGCTCAGCCCGTTACAGCGAGGACTACCTTATAGGAAAGACAACGTGCGAGATATAGCTAATAGACTACTCTAAGAGCGTGGTAGGAAGGAGGTAGGCAAGAACTAGGTTAATAGGTTTGTTTAGCGCAATCCTAAGCTACGTATGCGCTAGAGCTGTCTATATAATTACTAGTAAGCTCTTTATAAAGACTTAGCGCTTATTAAAGGCTAGTTTAAGCTAGTTTAGAATATAAAGGTAAAGTATAGTATTATAAACAAAGATATCTATAACTTTAATAAAACTAGCTTTATTATAGGCAAGATTTTATTATAGTTAGTTATTATAGGCTTAGATAAACTAAGAAGAATAAAGAAGATTTAGCTAGGTAATTATAAGTAGGTTATACTAATATAAGGCGTTAGCGCAATAGGTATGCGTATTGTAAGAGGCTACGCCTAAAGTGTGTGTGTGATCGAGTATATCTATACGACTACCTAGACTTCAAGAAGCTTGAAGTCTTGTTACTGCCTTTTTGGCTATGGATGGCGTAAGTAGTCGTACGCTCGGCCCGTTGGGCCCGCCCATTACACGTATTCTAGCGTTTCTTATTTTTGCTAGTAAGGTTCTAATCTCTACCTAGTTTATAGAGGATCTACTACGCGACTAGATAATCCAAGTTAGTCCTACTAGCTAGATAAATAATAATTTAGCACTTAACTAGCTTAAATTACTTTAATTCCTATACGCGGCTTATAGAGACGTATAGGTGTAATGGGCGGGCCCAACGGGCCGAGCGTACGACTACTTACGCCATCCATAGCCAAAAAGGCAGTAACAAGACTTCAAGCTTCTTGAAGTCCAGGTAGTCGTATAGATATACTCGATCACACACACACTTTAGGCGTAGCCTCTTACAATAGGCTACTTATTATTAATAGCTATAAGAGCTACTGCACACACACCAACTTTTAAGCAGAAATCTTTCATCAAAACTCGTCAATTTTCTATCAG